ATGTAAATATGTGTTGGTATAGAAAAAATATTACGGTCGATCCGAACTAACGATTAATTACCAAAAAAGTGTGCTTAATTTACTTGATGAATTAAATATTTTTTAAACATTGAAACTTTTGTTAGACAAAATTATTAGTTAGACACTCATATTTTTTTAATATATTTATACAAATTTTTAAACTGAAATTTCATATTCTTAAAAAATAATATAGATAAAAATAATATATTTTACAGCTTAACTATGTATTATTGTTATAAAAATACGATGAACGACCTAACGGATAGTTTATTCACGTAAGAAAGAATTTGTATTTTTTTTTATTATTTTTTTTTTGTTATAGTGCATTTTAAATTGGATATATTATTTCTGCAGGTATATGAGAAAGGCTGACACTGGTTAATGGAAAAAAGATGATCCCAGGAAAAAGATTGATTGAAAGGACGTGAGAAAAAATTGAATCATGGTTCAAACCTTCTTTTTTCTCCCTTTAATGTCTTTTCATATAAAAAAATATATATGATGTCAAAAAGAAAGTACTTTTTCTTTAATGTAANTTTTTTTTTGTTATAGTGCATTTTAAATTGGATATATTATTTCTGCAGGTATATGAGAAAGGCTGACACTGGTTAATGGAAAAAAGATGATCCCAGGAAAAAGATTGATTGAAAGGACGTGAGAAAAAATTGAATCATGGTTCAAACCTTCTTTTTTCTCCCTTTAATGTCTTTTCATATAAAAAAATATATATGATGTCAAAAAGAAAGTACTTTTTCTTTAATGTACAATTTTGTTAGCCATNAGATTGATTTTTTTTTTTTTTGTTTTTTCTTTTCTTGGGCATTTTGTGGAGACCTTAATAATAATAATCCCCACTTTTGTGTCAATACTCAGTACCACATGGAATTGTTTATTCTGCATAATTATAGTTGTCACATAATTTAGTTTAAGTGTGTTATTCAAGTTGTGTTTACACAATCAGTGAAATCATTACTTGTGATTTTGAGGAGTGTCGTATTGTGTTGGGACAAGTTCTATTACCATAATTTTATAAGAAACAAAAGTTGAATTCTTTTATATATTATTGCATTTGTTATATGTTGAATTCTTTTATATAGTATTGCATTTGTTACATGATAATACATCATCATTAAATACATATAAAATTATTAATCAAATCAGTAAGAGGCTATAATCTGTGAACTATTTTATTTTTCTCTCTAGCTCATTCCATTAGTATATAGCATTATGATTAGAGTTGTCAAACGAAATAAATCGCTCGTGAATTTAACTCTGCTCGAGCTCATTAAAGCACACATTTAATTTAGTTGACGAGTTGGGCTCGGTTCTATAAGGTTCGAAAAAAATTTTTTTATATAATTTTCTATAGAACGGTTTGTTAAAGCTCGAGTTCAACTCGTTAATGGTCAAACTCGACTCATTAATATTAATAAACGAGTCAAGTCCGCGTCATTAAGGTGGTGAAGCTCGAGTTGGCATTACCTCGAACTCGGCTCCACTCATTTACACGGTTTCTAATCATGACGAATAATAAAATTTGATGCCAAATTAAGTAAAGAAAATAAAAAAAAAAAACATTTAGATGTTTATTTTTCATAATTTATTAGTTGGATTATATACTTAAAATAAATAAATGAAGTATCAAGTGTGTATGTGGGACTGTCATAATTAATTTGTCTGATTTTTTGTTCTTTCTTGAGCTTTATTAAGGCTGGATTCTTGTAAATATTATTTCACGGTCCTCAGTCTTATGGTTGGGAATAGGTGGGAGCATTTTAATTATTATTCTTTTGTTCTCTATGTCCAATGAGGCAATGATGTATCAAATAGAAGAGGAACAAAGTTAATTAAATTACACACTTAATTTCCTCTTATCTCGTACCCATTATTATAGAATATTAAAGGTTCAATTAGATTAAAAAAAAACATGAAACAAATAATACAAATATGCTTAACATATCCAATTGCCCCTAACTATTTGAACTTTTTTTTTTTGTATTTCACCTACAAAAAGCAACATCTAATCTCAAAAACGAAATGCCAACAAACAAATGCACAATCTAGTATTTTATATAAATTGTAGCAGGTAATGTTTTTGTATTAGGTTGTTTCATACTTTTTCAATAAATATACATACATTCGTATTTATATGTCATACTTTAGAATATAAAATAAATAATAATATGATATTTTTATAATATAAATATTTATATTTTTCTTAATAAAGTATGATTACATAATGGTTACACTCTAACAACATAATTCATTGTTGTATTTCACTGATGATTATTCTAGGTCGACCACAAAGTATTATAATGAGAAGTTATACATGTTCTTCAAAGTTACTAAGATAGTCATCACAATCAATATCCGTTAGATAATCATACATTTTTAACAAATATATATTCTTTCAAATTGAAGTGTCATAGTTTAAAATCAACATAAAAAAAATATGACATTTCAGAGTATAAATATAGATTTTTGTTATAAAATATATATAAGACAATTTGAATCTACTAACTATTGTGCCACTTTATACAAGAGTTTGTGATCAGTGATCATCATATATTAGAAGTATAATCATAGCTTAGAAATTAAACTAACTCCTAAAAAACAACATGCATATGGTAGAATTCTTTTACAATTTAAGTTCATAAGGTCGCCAAAAAATAAGATGATCTATTTAGATTCATAAAGCTGCAAGCTTTATTATTTGTTGTCCCGTAAAATATACTGGACCCATTTCTTAAAGCTAGTTATTCTATCTTTTGCTCGTGCTCTAACAATAACTAGACATTTATCCCAAAATCACTTTTCGCATTACCCAATAAAAACAACTAATTCTGGTCGGACTCCTCTTCAACAAAGTTTAATTGTAAAATTGGTCGTAATTCATTTTAGTTTACATTTTATACTCGAGACCTTTACTTATTGATAATTTTATATAATGAAATACAAATTATTAATTAACTCGATCTGAAGGATGGGAATTTGGATGGGAGTGGGA